TATCGTTCAATAAATAGGATTTATTTTTATTAGATTAAAGATTTCAAAATAAATAATTTTCTATGCTTTTTGTAAAGTCCGTAAATAAAATTATTCGTTTTTCATAAATATAAATTGTAAAAAGTAACACAGCAGTCCAGAAAAAAAATATATCATCTTTAATAAATTTTTTCCCACCCAGCGATTCAGATTTGATGCTAAGATTCCAAAGGTTCAAGAATGCCGTTCCTACAAAAAAAAGAAAAATAGGAATGTTAATAAACGTTCCTAGAGAAACACACCACCCCAAGCTGCATTACCAATAATTCTGGAAGCCCCAAAGGTCTACAAGAACCATTCCTACAAAAAAAAGAAAAAGGAACGTTAATGAACGTTTCTGGAGGAACACACTCACCCCAAGCTGCATTACCAACAATTCTAGAAGCCCCAAAGGTCTACAAGAACCGTTTCTACAAAAAAAAGAAAAAGGAACGTTAATGAACGTTCCTGGAGGAACACACCCACCCCAAGCCGCATTATCAACAATTCTGGAAGCCTCAAAGGTCCACAAGAACCATTCTTACAAAAAAAAGAAAAAGGAACGTTAATAAACGTTCCTGGAGAAACACACCCAATTCCCGCAAAACTTACCTTTTACATTCAAACTCATAATTTCAAGAGAGTCCAGTCCAAGAATGCCGTTCCTAAAAAAAGGAAGAGGAAAAAAGGGGAAGGAGAGGAAAGTGGAAAAGTGGGAGTGAGAAAGTAGAAAATTGGGAGCGAGAAAGTGGAAAAGTGAGAGCGAGAAAGTAGGAAAGTGAGAAAGTGGGAAATTGGGAATATAAAAAAAAAAAAATTTTAAAAAATATATATAAAAAAATGAATAAAAATTAATAAAAAAAAAATATTGTTTTAAGATGGAAAACTTTGATCGGTTCGGCACAGTTGATCGTTTTAATTTCTGTGCATATAATTAAAAGATGATAGGTGGGTATTTCATAATGAGTATATATCCCCAGCCGATTTTTCTATAAATGCACTCCCTGTATAAATGCACACTTTTGTTTGGTCCTGAGGGGGTGCATTTATAGAGAGTTGACTGTAATTTGAATTCAAATGCATTAATAGCATATATATTTAAAAAAGAAAACTATGGTGTAAGTCATCTAAAGACTATATTGCTACGCCACATTCTGAAATTTAAAATTTAGTTACATAAAAATTTTATATATAAATTATTAAAAAAAAATTATAAAAAACAAAAAAAAAATAAAAATAAAAAAAAAGATTTATTTATTTATTTATCTATCTTATCCAATTCTTCAAATATATCATCAGGAATATGTCTATGTGATTTATACTTCTTAACTGCATGTTCTGCTAATTTGTCTGTTAATCCTTTTCTATATACATCCATATATCTAAATGATTTTCTTGCAATCGTCTTATAGTCACTACATCAATTAATTCTAAAGCATTAAGAACAACAGATTGCAAACCCGACCAAGAATAATCATAATGTTGTCTTGCATATCTTTTTGCTCCTCCCCAATATTTTCTATAAAATTAAGTTCACAATAAAACTTAGGATAAAAAATTATTTGATGTTCAGCTTTTTCAACAATTTCTTCTAAAAGACTTTTTTGTTTAAGAAAATCTAGTTGTAATGAAATAATTTTTCTTGCATAACAATCAATTCTATTATTATCAATAATTTTTTCCTTACATAATTTGCAATCAGCTAATAAACTCTGCTTTCATAATCCTCTTTCAATTAATACAGTTCTCATACCTTTTGGCTTTCCTTATAATGTTACAACTTCATAATCATTAGGAAATACTATAGGTTGTGATATATTATTTGAACCAAAAACAGTTGAACACATATAATAAATTTTTTTAGCTTTTTCTCCTTTATCATTTAAAAGTATCCAATTTGCAATAAGTGTATTATCAGAATAAGTACTATGATTAGAACTATTATCAAAAGCAAAGATAGCAATACAATTTGGAAAAAGTGCATTAAAAATTGGAATTGCTTTAGTTTTTAATTGTTCTGCAATATGATTAGCTGTCTAATAACCTTCTTAGTTTTTTCTAGGATTAAACATTATACGAGCTTCATGAGAAATATTAGGATAATATTGTTATTGATTTTGTGATATTTGAAGACGTCTAATAGCTTCTGTTAAAAATTCTGAAACTATAATAGATCTTCCATTACCCTTTTTTCTTAAGGAAATATTCCATCTTCTATCTAAACATCTCTTGAACTATCATTTGCATAAAAGATACATTTATCATGAGTAATCAATATATGTTCCTTTTATTTTTCTTTTAAAACTGATAAAATACATTTCATAGAATCTCCTTCATATGTAGTCATATATTGTTCAAATTCTACCATTCTTTCAAAAAATATTTTTCTATATGCAACTACATCATCACTCTCATGTTCATTATAATAAATATCTTGATAATGCATTTGATATTTATAACCCAATACTTGTAACTAATGTTGTGCTGTACTTAAGCTAATTGAAGATTTTATAACTCTAACTTCTACTAAAAGAACTTCATTGATAAAATTTTTAAATTCAAAAGAGGTGATTTTATTATTTTGTTTTCATAACTATTGTTTACACTTTTCTGCTATATCTTTATTATCAATAATACAAATTGTTTTTTGATGACATCTTCAACGAGAAATTGAAAGCGTTTCTGTTTCTAACTAATATTTTGCCCATTTACAGATTTGCCTTTCTAAATATATTGTTGTTGATGTTTTTTTTAAAAAAACTATATTTGCAGCTTGTTTACTAGCTTTCATTTTACTACTAATTGGTAAGGAGGTTGATGAAGAGATTAGTGAAAAAGCTGATGAAGAAGTTAGCGAGAAGATTGGTAAAGAGATTGATGAAGAGGTTGGTAAAGAGGTTTTAGTATCTACTAAAAACCAATTTTCTAATTTAGGTGTATTAATAGCTGCTTTGGTAAATATACCGTTTGGTCCATATTTACCATACCAGGTTGATTTTTTAGTTTTTCCAGTTAAATATTACCCTTGTTTGCTTTTTTCCAAATCATTATCAAACTTCCATTTAAGATTTAAAGGAATATTAATAAGATAAGCTTTATATTCTTGTTATTGTTCTGTAAAACTTAATGAAATATCTTCACTACTGTTATTATCCTAACATTGTCAACGGAGCAATTAACCAGTTATAATGAAGTCACGTGAATGACGCAGTATAACGATCTTTTAATTCAGAATTCTGAAAATACTGAGAATTCTGCGAATTCTGGAAATACAGAGGATCTGCGTAACTCT